CATCATTAACCTTCGTTTCATATTACATTTAAAAGCATTTTCGTACTTTGCAGATGTTAACGACAAATACTGCTTTTTCTTAAGTGAAAGTGAGAGATTATACAGAACAAGGGAACCTTGTAATTTGGGTAATACTTCATATCGATTTAAGCTAGCAACCAGAGCCAGATGAATCGTTGGTGTCTCCAGGTGCACTGCTACAGTTGACCTAGTGCCACTAAAATAAGTTTCACCCATACTCAGCTCATATTTTGCAGTTCTCACCCAAGGAGCACCGCAATGTCCCAAGTCCCAAACCACGAATACACACAATAAAGCTTCGATAAGTGTCCTCGTCTTCATAATGATAGCCCAGAGTCCAATAATGATAGCCCAGAGTCCAAAAAGAGAGGAAGCATGAATGTACGTTAGACAGGTGGTTGTAATTGAAATCAAACATCAACAGCTTTCTGAATTTGTTGTCTTTTTGTCACAACTAACTTTTTTTTAATCACAAAGCTTCAGAAAGACACAGATGAGTCTCTGTGTGGCTTCGTGTAACGACAAGCCATCCTGCTAGTGCTGCCCGGTTTTCAAACCTCAGTTAACAGGCAGTGTATCGTTTCTGTCTTTCCTCAGTTAGGCACAATACATTCAGCCTGATTGGCCGTAATGAGTATCGGGACCTTGAAAATGACTGGAAATGTATTGAGAATGGTTCTCACTCTTCTGCTCCTTGCTCCTATCAGTCAAGGTAATTCTTTATATTCTGTATATATCCCTTTGTGCGTGCTATGATGAATCAGCAAAGATGGGTATTCGATACCAATATTGACTTCTAACACTATCTGATGTGTCTGACAGGGATCCAGGGTGTTGAGTTGTTCCATTATGAAAAGATGGAAGCTGTAGTGGGCCAGAATGTTTCCTTACTCTGCACTTTAAAAAGTGCTACTGATAACAAGATTGTCAGCATTGAATGGAGTAAGGAAACAAATAAAACTACAAAGCTGGGTTTGTACAGCCAATTTTATGGAATCCATGTATTCTGGCAAAATATTACCATCCAGATTGAGAAAAACGGTACAGATGTACTGGGTTCCCATCTAATACTTTCTGATGTGAAGAAATCGGATGAAGGCATCTATGTTTGTGACATGGCCACCTTTCCTGATGGATCCAAAAAGGTTAAAACACAGCTAATAATCAAAGGTAAGAGAACCTAGTACACACAAAGCCATATCTAAGTACCTAAACCAGACTTTGTAGACCACCCTGGATTTAATATTTAAATAGAAATGCACAACATCTTTCTATCTAATGCTGTATTGTGGTTTGATCAGAGCACTCAGTCTCTGCCAATCTCAGCAGTTATTTACTCAGCAAATCCAAGTAAGAATAAAAACAACAAATCTAGTAGCTCTGCTAAAAGACAGTTTTCTTTTTCATATTACTTGTCTCATAACACACGACACAACACACTCTTCTGTTCAGCGGAAGGGATGTTGTGATCACAACACTGGCAGAAGACATATTACAAAATGTGCTTTTCACATCACTCAGTTGGTTGACTTTTTCTTTTTAATTATTATTATTTTTTACGTTTTTTGTGTGATCAACAAATCTAATTCTATCAGTCAAGGTAATTCTTTATATTCTGTATATATCCTTTTGTGCGTGCCTGTGTGTTATGATGAATCAGCAAAGATGGGTATTCGATACCAATATTGACTTCTAACTCTATCTGATGTGTCTGACAGGGATCCAGGGTGTTGAGTTGTTCCATTATGAAAAGATGGAAGCTGTAGTGGGCCAGAATGTTTCCTTACCCTGCACTTTAAAAAGTGCTACTGATAACAAGATTGTCAGCATTGAATGGAGTAAGGAAACAAATAAAACTACAAAGCTGGGTTTGCACAGCCAATTTTATGGATTCCATCTATTCTGGCAAAATATTACCATCCAGATTGAGAAGAACGGTAGAGATGTACTGGGTTCCCATCTAATACTTTCTGATGTGAAGAAATCGGATGAAGGCATCTATGTTTGTGACATGGCCACCTTTCCTGATGGATCCAAAAAGGTTAAAACACAGCTAATAATCAAAGGTAAGAGAACCTAGTACACACAAAGCCATATCTAAGTACCTAAACCAGACTTTGTAGACCACCCTGGATTTAATATTTAAATAGAAATACACAACATCTTTCTATCTAATGCTGTATTGCATATATTTCACATTACTTGAGGTTGCATCAGAGCACTCAGTCTCTGCCAATCTCAGCAGCTATTTACTCAGCAAATCCAAGTAAGAACGAAAAGAACACATCTAGGAGCTCTGCTAAAAGACAGTTTTCTTTTTCATATTACTTGTCTCATAACACACGACACAACACACTCTTTTGTTCAGTTGAAGGGATGTTGTGATCACAACACTGGCAGAAGACATATTACAAAATGTGCTTTTCACATCACTCAGTTGGTTGATTTTTTTTTTAATTATTATTTTTTTTACGTTTTTTGTGTGATCAACAAATCTAATTAATCTCATGCTTTCCTCAATAGATGACATTAAAATAACATGTGATGTGAATGGCACTGTTGAAGTCCAAAATGGAGAAAATGTGAAAATTCGCTGCACATCATTTCCAAACGCACAGTACAGATGGACCAAGGTAAAGGAAACTTGGAATTTGAAACTGAATTTAACTCTGACTTCTTTTCAAAATAAAAGTTTTTTATGTGCTACATAATCATGCTTTGCCCCAGAATGATGAACTGTTGTCAGAGACTGAATCTCTGGAGCTCTGGTGGGTGACTGATGCTAATGCAGGGATTTATACACTGACTGTCAACACAGGAAGCAAACGTGTGCGCAAAGAGTTTGTGGTCACAGTGCAACCACAAGTTTGAAGACAGGTGAGCGTCTTCAGTTCGTTGCTGCTCTTTGCCTCTTTGTGTCATAATAAATGACATTTAAACTATAAAATCAAAGCCTCAAATCAAAACGGGTAAAAGTCTTACTATCTGTTCATTTAAATGTCCTATGCCTGCTTACATTGGTTTTTCTGTGAAAATAGCCAATAGATGTGCATACAATATCTGTACATGCTTTATAGATTCAACTGTAACTGTCTAACAAAGCCACAAGTCAATATTTGTGCTCTGTCTCTTCCTAGGATGGATCTACCACCTCCTTTCAATCTCCCTCCAGCTTTAGTCAAGTATACAGCTGCAAGGTAGAGCAAGACTACAACAGAGCCTTTCCCCATCTTTGACACAGATTCAAATATGAAATATGTCAGTTCATTAGCTGAAAAGTGAAGTAATAGTAGAGTAGGGTTTAAATCATGTCTTCTCTACTAATTAGAAACCAGTACAAACCAGAAGTTTTGCAAATGTAGCTCTGTCTAAAGGTGTTTTCAGGATTTTTTTTTTTTTTTTTGGTTGAGGTGGCAATTGTTGATTTATTTTTGTGTATACAGCTTTGCAGTTGTAGCTGTTGATGATTTCAATTACTTTTAATTTTAATATATTTCTCAGTACCTTGAGCTATAAACCAACAATTAAATAAAATACAAGTACATAAAACCTGAGTAAATAATCCTGTATACGCTCTGATCCAATTTCCACAATTGTTCTTTTTTTTAATTATTATTATAATTTGTATTTCTGATTTACTAAGTTTTACAGACCAATAAACCACAAATGCTACATTTCTGCAACATATAAATTCTTCATATAGAAACATTACGTGGACAAAAGTATTGGGTTACATCACTTAATCTCTAATTCAGGTGTTTTCAGTCCCATTGCCACAGGTCAGTGGTGGAACTGAAAAATTTTATGTGGGGCAAGATGTCTAGGCAGAGTGGCACATACCTCTTTAGAGTAGTATGTGAAAACCCCCCACATGGAGTCAACAAAATATCCACAAAAACACTTTAAAATTATTTATTATATAATTATCTCTTCTGAGAAAACAAAGGCTACAAGAGGCTTTTGGACAAACAAGCAATTAGCTTTGCAACTATTTTAGCCATAGTATTTTAGGTCTGATGTTTGTGCCATTTTTGTAAATACGTGTAAGCAATAAATGATCAAAAACCAGGAATATGATGGATATTGTTTTTAAGAATTTAACCTTCTCTGTATTTTGTTATTTTGTTTTATGGCTAGACAGAAAGCTAAATAGTATCCTGTTTTGTCAATACTAAGCAGGCTGCAGCTGTACTCTGCAAAGGGGTCAAACAGCAATACAAAGGGAAATTAAAACTATACACTTGTAAAGTTTTGTCATTGTAATATTTTGAAGCAACATAAAGCTCTGCGTTTGCTCAGTATGTGAAAACTCTAAAAGGCTGTGCAACATAATTTTTTTTTTTTTTTTTTTTTTTTTTTGAGCCTCCTATGCATACTGCTATAAAAATGCAAACATATATTTCTTGGCTGAGCTCACGCACAGGCATTTGATGATTCTCACACTCCTCCAGACTATTTTATATTCACACAATAACATAATGTGGCTTGAAGGCATGAGGGCTGGGTTTGCAGGAACATATGTACAGTAGATTCACAGTCTCACTGTATATGCATCCATGTATCATCTCTCTCTCGCCTCCAGACAATACAAAACGCAGCAGCCAGATTACTAACTCGCTCTACCAAGCGTGTTCACATCACTCCCATCTTATATTCTTTACATTGGCTCCCAATAGAGTTTAGAATTCGCTTTAAAATTCTTGTTTTAACATACAGAGCACTAAATGACCAGGCTCCAGATTACTTATCCAAGCTTCTTTTAAAATACACTGCTGCTCGTCATCTCCGCTCACAGACTCAGAGTCTCTTAGTTGTTCCCCGTACACGACTGAAGACAAAAGGGGACAGAGCCTTTCAGTCTGTTGCACCAAGGCTGTGGAACAGTTTACCACTACAATTACGTTTGCTTGACTCTGTGGATTCTTTTAAAAAACAGTTAAAAACTCTTCTGTTCAAACAAGCCTTTTGTTGATCTACATATTTTATATTTTTTACATTATTTACATTTGATCTTTTACATTGTATATCATGTCTATTGATTTTATTGTTTATTTTAATATTTGTGTACAGCGCTTTGTGATTGCCTGTCTGCGAAAAGCGCTTAATAAATAAAGTTTACTTACTTACTTACATATAGATCCTATTAAAGCATTTAATATTATTGCATCCATTGTATACTTCTGCAACCAACCTAAGTACGTATGTGCCAGCACTTGTTTTTGTTTGTTTTATTCCCCCAGAGAACAGATAGCAACTACCCAAACAGATGAATATCCAATTCAAATGTGGTTCAAATTTGAAGTTACAGAATAAATCCGTTTCTGTTAACTGGCTAAAACTAATCACTAAGAGTATTTTTGATACAGACTCACTTATCCACCTCTGCTCCTTGGCTGGTCCATGTTTAGAACACCGTGATGTTCTTAATTAAAAGTTATCCTCAGTTACCCTACCGCAATACAAAACGGCACCAGTGTCTGTTGTGTAATTTTTGTTTTCTTTAAGAGCAAGATTCGGGAATTGATCTTGTTAAGTTAGTGCTTATAGTTTCGTTAATATTTAACGGTCAGACGAACTTGTGATGCCAGCACGTAAACGGTTAACCCGTTGTATAAAGGGCCAGTACAGACACTCGCAAAGTCTTGTTACTTCACTGACGTCTCCTCAGAGTGGCGAGGCGAGGTCACAAGTTCCCAAACACAGCCCCACAGCAATCACACACTCCCGCCACAGGGAGGGCGGAGAAAGACGCGCAGGAGACCAGGGGAACGCACTCGAGCCAGGTCAGAGTTACTGAAAACTGCTACCGCTGCTAAGCTCTGACAGGTGGGATGACCAACTATCCTTCACACTCCAATGGTATGCAGAGTCTCCGGAAAGAGCACCTGTATAAGGTGCTGGTCATCGGAGACCTGGGGGTCGGGAAGACTTCCATCATCAGGCGCTACGTCCACCACACCTACTCCACTAATTACCGGGCTACGATCGGAGTTGACTTCGCCCTGAAAGTGTTAAACTGGGATTCAGAGACGGTGCGGCTCCAGCTGTGGGACATTGCAGGTAGGGCAGTGAAGAAGCTGAGTGTGTGTTACGTGTTGTACCTGTCTGTAGGTGTGACAGCAGGCCAAATAAACTGGCACCTTGCTTTTCCTCCACAAAAGTTTATGGCGGGTGTAAGGGATCTGTATTGTACGCCGTTTACACCATTTTTTTCCCTCCTTTTGGTATTTTAAAATATGAAATGTAAAAGAACTAGTGGAGGAAGAAAAAGTTAGAAAATTTGTAGCAGTGCTGCTTAGTTCCCGAAAAAAAGATCCTTTGGGTAGATAACACTTATCTTCTAAGTGACAACGAGGCATGACTCTTCTATATTTATGAAACGTTCACAACATAGAGATGCACTGTCACTGTGGAGAGCTGGTATCTGACACAACCCACGTTCTCTCTCTCTCTCTCTCTCTCTCTCTGACACACACACACACACACACTGCTTAGACAAGACCAGCACACTGTTGTTCAGTCATTCATTTAAGGTATGATGTTGCATCATGTGATTAGAGCCATGTGAGGGAGATTTAAAGGAGTTACAGGAGTGTTTTGTAGCCCTAATAAAAAAACAAAACCACCTTACTCGGTCACAACGAGCAAAGTGAGACACACACAGAGGTACATGCCTTATGGGTTTAATTTTTCTTCATTAAATTAAATGATTATGTCAGGGTCAAGTAAATATAGTAAGTCACATCTGATTTAGTTTGTCTACCTGGTTGAATTAATCCAGATGGGCAGATAGGCACTGAGGAGTGAAACATTAATCCTCTTTTCATCATGCGGGGAATACATTTCATATGCTTTGATTGGAAGTCATGCAAAACTTTAAAGCGCACCCTAGGCGTACTGAATGACAGTTTGTCAAGTGACAAATGTGACACGTCTGTCTGTGACTTCTCTTACACAATGGCAATTATTTATATACAGTCTTGCACAAAAGGAGGAAGCTATCAATTTCCCCTTACTTATGATGGCAAATGGCAACACTTTGTCTTTCTCAGAGAGCTTTTATTAAAGCCAGAAGTGGCCTCTCATCCATCCATTAGTATTAACTTTTCTGCTGAGAGGACATTTCCTGCACAGCAAGCAGGATGCACACACCTACGCGCTCTGTTCCGGACCAACAAGTCAAATTAGACAGCATCACGCATCTCTGAGGGAATGTGTTGTTAACAGCTAACCTGCTCCTCTAATTTTCATTTCTTGCACAAGCTCAGATGAACCCACGTGCATACATCTTCCATATAGACTTTTCACATGCGTACAGGGATAAATGCTGTTTTAACCTACTTGCAAATTGCATGTCTAAATTAAGCAAATCAAGCAGTCACATTGGCCATATGTTTATGTGCAACATGATGGTAAGACTACAGGAATGTGCTGTTTCATGGGAATGCAGGCACTGCTGACTGCAGTCAGCTGTATTAGTTGTTTTGCTGCAAACATGCAGGAAGAACAATGGAAATCTGTCATTGGATCTGATGCTGGCAACAACAACGCTGTCTTACGAATGAATGAATCTCCGTGTTTGTCTGTGTTTGTGAATCACAGGTCAGGAGCGTTTTGGGAACATGACACGAGTGTACTACCGTGAAGCCATGGGGGCCTTCATAGTGTTCGACGTGACACGGCCAACAACCTTTGAGGCTGTCGTTAAGTGGAAAGAAGATCTGGATTCTAAATTAATGCTGGCTAATGGAAAGAGCATCGCCACCGTGCTGCTGGCCAACAAGTGTGACCAGGGCAGGGAGCTGACCAACAATGGCATTAAAATGGACCAGTTTTGCAAGGACCACGGCTTTGTCGGTTGGTTTGAGACTTCTGCCAAGGTGCGACCAAAGTACAGTTATAATACGTTTGCTACAGTTTGCTAGTCATTTCCGAAGTATGGAATGAAACAGATTCTTAAACAAACACAGAACATACCTCATTTTCCTAACATCATATAACAGACACACCCTTCCTATTGGAAGTCTTTTTAAGCTGTTATAGTTCCCATCTCTCCCACCAACATGTAGCCACAGCTTCCCTGCATCCTTCTCCACCAGCACCATAGCACCCAACTGTAAGCCCTGGGGGATATTGACTCATCTCTCCCTAATTTTACATATAATATATTAGCAGGGAATAATGAGCCAAGAGCCTAGATGCCAAATGCTGACTATATTGTGCTCCTTTAATCAATCAGTCATTTTAAAATAGTCTTATCTGACTGAAACAGAGATTTATTTTAGCTTTGTTCCTAAGTGTCAGAAGAGAAGCCAAGCTAAGGTAATCAGTTGCTTCCTAGAGCAACCATTAAAGAAACACATACAACCCCGAGCAAGAGTGCATCTAGGGATACTTCTCAAAATATAAGCACTGTTTAGGATTGAAAGAATCCCAGCCATCTCTGAGTCACACTCTGGTCACTTTAGTCAGAAATGATCATCTCCATAGAGCTAACTGGGCTTTTATATGCTCATGAGATACATTTACAGTGCAGGGTTAGAAGAAATTCCATAAGTTATTGTTAACTGTCTGGTGTTCAAAAACTCCCACATCCTACGGGGAGTTCTGCTTCCAATCAAAGCCCCACTGTTTTCAGTTCTGTTCTTGAGTGGGCATTATAAAACCTCAGTTTGATGACATATACATTTTCTACCTGCTTAATGTGCTGGATAATTTGTGTTTTAGGCACCATATAATTTGCTGTAGTTATGATATACATGCATTTGGTGTTCTGCGATCTTGACCATTTAAATTACTAGGTTTAAATAAAATGTTCACGCTCAGTACTCGGTGTGTTTGTTGACATTTCCAGAAGAACGCCGTAAAATTATTTTACTTTTATGCTGCTGCATAGAATTCTGCTAATATCGCATGCACTTACACATCTGCTGTTGACACTGACGTGTTGGAGCTGCTTGTGGCATCAAGACTCGACATTCTGAAAGGTCAAAGTTTATAAGGTGCAGATTTGCCCAGAAGTGTCAGAGGTAGACTATACAAACAGATGTACCCACTCCTTATGTGAAGCAG